GGAATGTAGTCGAATAAGGCCTGAGTTAACTGCTCCTGGAAAAAATTTCTTATCACAGCAAACAATCCTCTTGAGATTCGTTTGACAATTGGCGTACGAGGCCAAATAATCAAAATAACTAAACAAAATCATAAGAAACGTCAGCTTTTGTGAATAAATAGTTTAGTATAAGCCTATATGTCAATGTGTACTCGTACTTGTTAATAAATAGCCTCGTATTTGCCTATTAAGAAAACAGCAAAAGGAGTGACTACTTCACATCAATGCAAAAAATCTCAACACATCCAGGAAGCTGAGTGATATACAAAACTTAGAATCTCACACCGCGATATCTCATATCAAAAAAGAGTGATAGCAGAGTGGTGGCCTTACGCTATATTGGTAATGCACCACCTGAATGGGCGGGACGCGAGTTCAACTCCCGCCTGTTGTCGAATGTCTTTCATACTACTCGGCTTCCTTGTACAATATAATTATAGCATCACGACACTGCTAAAAAGAGCTTCAAAGAATTTCTATAAATATAAGCATACCTTCACCGGTGCTACATCCTTCTCGAACAGATTCGTACGGATCAAACGAACGCCACAATTAATGTCAAATCCGACACCTCCTAAAGACAATCAAATGTCTGTATAGCTCAGTAAAACAAACATTGTAATGCTATGGCAAGCGATCCGCCTAAGTTATCCGACAAAACTGATTGACTCGAATGCAAAATCGAAATTCCAAAGAAAAATAAAACACTACAGAAAACTTATGAAAATGTCAGAGATGGCAACGTTGCTCACCTGGTGAGATTACCGACTCCTTATTGGACACATCAAATGCCGCAATGTTTCCTATCGAAAACCCGTAACCTGAATGAATGTCGGGCAGACCAATTGAATGTCCTACGATACCGGGAAGGGCAGCAACGTTTGCCAGTTGCCTCACAGCAGGCAGAAATCCACCAACACCTAAAGACAGGAGAGATAATGTGCTAGTCACTGGTGTCCACAGTGATTGTGGATAAGGCTCTAAACTCTGAAAATGAAATACACCTTCATTATCCTCATCTTGATGTAAGAGTACTGACTCGCTATTCACCTATTGACGTTCAAATTTGTGGAAATAATAAATAATAATTACTGTTTTTCTTCTTTAAGCAAAACACGAGGTGTTACAATAAAATTTATTCACAGCTGACGTTTCGGCAGTTCGCCTTCTTCAGAGCCTGGAAAGGTCAAATTGTCCGCAATCCAATAAGCCAAACACCTCCAATACTCTTTTAGAAAAAATCACCACACCTAGATTTCAATCGCATCAAGCACAAAATCAACTCTCAACATATTCACCGCTTTTTATATGTGTTCCACTGAATGATTCAAGTGGAGACAACCGCAAGGAGATCACATAGGCTCGTAATGCACCTTACCCATCAAAATAACAGTCTTATATACTGATTAAAATCACGTGTGATAACAAGGCATTCCTCCCTGCGGTTCATAGTTGGATTGGTGGTATTAATCCAAAGTGCTTCAAGAAGTTTTCGCGCTGATGTTTTTTGTTCCTGCGCAAGGATGGTGACTTCAATCTCAAAATCAGCTCCGTCGTGTTTCTGTTTTCTATGTGCCCTAGCGGGGTGTTCCGTCTTTTAAGACGCTTATCACCTAGGTGTTCTTCTATGCGGGCATAGAGCGGTCTAGCCGTATCGCCAATATCATTATCGCTACACACTTTGCAAGAGATTAGGTAGACTGTACCTACGCTCGTGCAATCACCGTCTCTGCCGTTAGGACATATTTTACAATCTTTCATTATACAGAGACGGTCATATAAGCGGTTGCGAACTAGTTGGCGTTTTAGAGTATTCGGTGGTATTTCATTAAGAGCCACCGATTGCTCTAAACCCGCTCTTTTCAAACAGCGTTTTATAGCTGTACTAATCTCATTTGAAAAGAACGGGAGTATGAACGGGATTTTCCTTTCATTCGAGTTTTCGTTCGGAGGCGCATTATTTCCTCTAAACCTAAGCCGAGGGGCTACAAATTCATATCCATTAGAACTGGCTATTTCTCGAGCCAATTTCACGGATTCTTCTCTCTGCTCCTCCCCAGTACATACGCTGGCTGCTGTTCGAAACATGTTCTTTACTAGCGCCTTTTTCGTATGTGAGGAATGAGAAGAGAGATAGTGAACCAGTAGACAGTCGGTCTTGGGAATAAATAATAATAATAATAATAATAATTGGTAACATCTAATAGTGAATACTTCAATTTAAATGATCGAAATAAGTACTCAACTCGTCCGATCGATAGTCGCAACTCTTCAAACATTTGATCTTCCAGCTTTTGTTGACGTAGAATCGGCACTCCACCTATATATAGCTAAGTAAAGTCTCTAGAAGTTGACCTACTCAATCAAAAGGCAAACATAAGTAAACTCACTTTCATATTCGGCACAAATCCTTTCCTAATTTTGAATTTGCATTGTGAAACTCGTTCGATAAACGCACACTCTTCTTCAAATGTACGAGGCATTGCTATAAGGAAACCACTAACATGGCAAACTTATCTTACATAAAAATTGAAAATTATCGTCAAACTAGATAAACCACGTTCATGTGGAAACGCTTTCAGGTACCTCTGACAGAAATCTGAGATCAGAAGCAGCAGTCTCCGTCGGAGCAACTCGTGGAGTAGAAGTGCTGAGAAGCCTAAAAACGATATTGGCGGGGTGCGACAGAAGCATAACAGGAATATTCCGATAAAATTCCACGAGATCAAGCCTTTCTCAAATCTTCAACGCCAAAAATACCGTATATAAACATTGTGTGGCAAAGTTGGTTTGGAAGCTCATCAACGTTTTCTTCGATATTGAAAAAATGATGTACTCCATAATCTGATTCTCTACAGCTCTTCACGATTCTGCTCGTCAAATCTAATCAGAATCGAATGGATTTAACAGGTTCTTGATCTCAAGGGGACAATAAAAACAGATCTCATTCGCTGGAGAAGAACTTTTCACAGTAGTGTTAGTGATCATTCGAAAGCTGAAACTTCAGGCTACAGCCCAACATCAACGGTCTTCGAAGAAGCCTCTTCCTGCGTTGGCTGCAGATTTCTTGCGTTGCACACGTGCATATTTCTCACGGACAGAGCTCTCCTTTGAATTATTGGTAATCATATGCTAGCGTAGTCGTTTCTAATTCAAACGCTGTGCTTATATCTTGAAAAGGCCGTTTCTCTGCACCACAGCAGATAAAATAAATGGAATTCCCATCTGCGATCGAAGGGGGTCTTTGGCAAATTCACGTGCGGCAGCTGGGCACGTCCGCCGACGCGATGATGGTCGACTTTTCGGACATATGAACGCGGCATAGAGAAGTACTGCGTTAACACTCAACGTGGCTGACTCACGCACCAAGCACGTGAATTGGCCAAAGATCTCCTTGGTCGCAGATGGGAATTGAACTTATCTTACCTGCTCCGTTTAGAGAAACGGTCTTTTCAGGATATAAGCTGTGCGTTGGAACCAGAAACGATTACGCTAGCAAATGATTACTGATAGTCAAAAAAAAGCTCTATCCGGCGAGAAATATGCGCGTCTGAGACATAGTTTTGTCTAGATTTTACAGCGTTATGAGAGCGTGTTTTCGAAAACCGGCGACATAGGGATGTAGCCTGAAGATCTCGGCTTTTGAATGGTTACTGAAATTCTGAAGAAATCTTCTTCTCCAGCGAATAAGGTTGGCTTTTCATTGGTTCCTTAAAGATCAGAAAGAACACTTTTATATTTGTTTGCACTTACATTACACACTGGGTCAGGGTAGCGCAATGGTCAGAGATGCAGTTTAGCAGAAGAAAGGTAGAGAGAGAGGCGTGATTCGATTCCCTCCTCTGAAACATCATTCTGCAACTAATCAACAAACGGCCTTAGCTCAGCTACCTATTCTATGACATTCACAAAGAAGACGAAATCCTCAAGAAGCAATACATGAAATAATCGGGAACCTCAGTGGAGGATGAATGGGAGAAAACGAATCGAATGTAAAGATTTTGGTATCCGAACACTAAATTGAGACAAAAGATCTTGCTTAAATAAAAAGTGTTACATCCAAGTAAACGCCATGCATCGCGTTCATGAGACCTTTATGTAGAAATGTTGTTAAAAAATTGGTTCCAAGCAAAAAGCTAGTTAATGTAAGCACTGATATAAAGTGTTAGAGTTGGAGTTGACACTTTGGGTACTATAGGATCACGGCGCTAGCCCCGCTCGGTCACAGCGCGCGAAGGCGAGCAGTCCATTGTGCCAAGTGCTTGAAGATGCAGACCATTAGGTAGAAGGTGGCTGGATCGATCCCCTGACACGACGCTTTACAGCAGACTTTTTAGTGTCGATTAGTACTGGATTTTCTCCACACAGGTAATTCTTTGAACGAAAACAAAAATAGACTGCTGTGAAGCGTCGTAGGAGGGAATCGAATCGGCAATCTTCTTCCCAATGTTTTGCATCACTAATCACTTGGCACAATAGACTGTTCGCCGCGCGCGCGGCTAGGCGGGGCTAGCGCCGTGACTCCATAGTACCCCAAGTGTCAACCAGTGAAACTATAAAGGTTGATATGAAGGCATGATTCACTAATGATTGGTTCGGTCCCTGTTACATCGGACAAATCGTGGGTACAGCTACCGCCATTGATGAATCTTAGCTGCAAGATAGAAAATCTCCTCCCTACCCTGAAACGATCGAGATGACCTCTTGACTATCAAAACAGAACTACCTCGAGAAGCTGACGATAAGAATGCTTAGGTTATCACGACGCAGTCGAACTCTGCCCAACACCACGAAAAGGAAACACTACTCATTGCTTACGTGAAAACAAACCATCTAGGTAAAGTGCATCATCCATGCTGGAATCTCTGCAAAAGATGCAGGAGTTTACTTACGCTCTACTTATGGAAAACCAAGTGATGAATATGGATATCTGAGGATGCTGAGTGTTATGCAAAACTTCAAACCTCAAGCGGGAGTAGAACCCTCGCTTCACCCATACCAAGGGCTCATGCTACCACCACACCACCGAGATCACACGGCTAGTCAAGAAACAAATCTCAGTGTTTATACTTCAGTTCTCACGAAACTACTCGACTGAGTGAACTGAGATTTATTTTGATCTTTCCAAGCTCTGAAATAGCCGGTATCGCCGAAACGTCAGTCAATACATTAATACACGCAATACTATTATCCGTTCGGGAACCAGCGTTGATACGCACGCGATGTCGCGCCGTCGCCTCCCATGAGACGCGACGCCGCCGTTACAGTAGCTGAGTGAGATTTGCCGTCACTCAGCACAGTGAGATACGTACCATTTGGTCCTAGAAGGTTTATAAAGAGAAATACTTAACATAACTATACTTCACATCCAAAGACGTTTACTAAGTGAGCGCAGCTTCAACAAGCTCAAACATCCTGGAGATTCTGTCTTGTAGGAAGTGAAGGGAAGAGCTAACTGAGAAAACAAACGGATCCTCGGTCTCGGCTCAGATGAGATATCTAGAGCGATTGAAGAAATCCATACTTCAACGTCACATGCAGTTCAACGAATACAAAGCTATTCATATGTGCATAGAACTTGACGCACTTACAAAAATCGAAGGATATGAGAGACGTAAATCCGTGATAACCAGAGAACCAACCTCTAATATCGACTTCTATTTCGTACGAGCTCTCCTAGCTTTTACATCATCAGATATTCTGATGGAGATCCCTCTCTAAGAGATCCCCAAGCCCGGTGAAGTCGCGAGGGCGCGTGACGAGTTTCCAGGTAGTGGACAGGGGAATTAAACGCGAACCAAAAGCGATCGTGTGCTTCCCATAGACCAAAGTTAATTCAGGGAACGAGCCTGATTTCTACAGCTCCGACTCGATAGAATCGCATTTTCTACGAGTCAATTTGGACAGAGCCTGCAATCAATCGGTTGAGAAGTACATGGGAGGCGGTGAGAAGTCGCCCCCAACGAATAAGTTCCTCGTGTTCCTCCGGGATAGACTGGCAAGCTACCCATGAACACCCAGCTCTCACGTTCAGAGGTAATTCGGTACCAAACGGAAAGGCAGTTTCAAACACCACTCATCCCTTATGATAGCTTGTTCTGTTCTATCTCAATGAACTTCTCCCTGAAGCAGTTCACTTGGATCTACCTTGATGAACCGATACTTACTTCACTAATTTCAGGATTTTATCAGCACGTATTACTTGGCCATTATTCCCGTAAACATGCTGCTTGACCTACATCAATTACCCAATAATGTTGAGTGATGTGAAAACTTTGACGTCAGGCTGGACTCGAACTACCAATACACCCCTTCCCGGGATGCGCATTTGGTGAGACTCATGAGTTGTAGCGTAGAAAGAGTTTGTGGCAGACACAAGCGCTGGTAATGCAATTGGTTAAGCACGCGCTCCTAGAAAGGGTTAAGTGGTGGTTTGAGTCCGGCCTCATGTCAAAGTCTCACTGTCATCACTCAAGATCACTTGATATATTTGTAACATCATATTGCCGCAAAAAACCGGTTAAACATACGGATTCCTGTACCAACACTGCTTGAAAATTGAAAAAATTAGCGGTTAAGAGGACCTATGACTTGGTATCATTATGAACAACGCTCATTATAAACAAATTTATTTCCAAAAAATTGTGTAAAACAAAGCTCCGATTGAAACTTCTAGCTGAAATCCAGAAATTATATCCAAAATAGGGGAAGATATAACAAAATGAGAGCCAGATATCGAAAGCGAACATGACTAGGATATGTAGAGATTGTGAGGTGTATGAGACTCTAAAAATAAGGAGACATCCTCACTGAAACCGTAGTCGAGTATATACAATGAAATCAACGTCGAAGATTCTTCATTTAGATTTTGGAAAATCCTAAAGAGCTATACAAATTGACTTGATTTTTTTTCCACAGGAATAAACCTACGTTTCTTTCCGGGGCAACTTTGTAATCTACCGGGAATCGTTATTTCCCATTCGATAAAGTCACAAACACTGTCGAAAGAATAGCAGAACCGACAGACCGTAGGAGAAACCCGCGCCATTTGACCCGTGAATCTTGAAATGTGTAAGACTATCAAGCTTTTAAAGTAGAAAAACTAGACAATACCCATTGTAGATGTGATCACTGGTAATGAAATGTGATCTCTAAAGGCAGTGTAGGAACCAAGGATCGTCAAGAAATCACAACTCGACTCTGCCCTATTCGAAAGTCACACAAATGAGTCAGATAGACAAAATAGACAAATAATGCTCTATACAATTTTGCTTCTCATAAAGAAGAAATAATCAAAGACCATATCACAACTCAGTAGTGGTTCCGAGGGGCGTGAAATGTGCCTGACCAATTGACAAGCGATGACTGGAAGTGGAGGAGAATAGCTGGTTGGCCGACGATATTTTACGAACGGAAATCCGTCGAGCTTCGTCTTCGACTCGACTCTCGATTGGTTGTCGACATAACGGACAATGATCCAACTGCATAGAACATGTGTTGCAAAATCCACTGTAACAGAGAAAAACATCGTAAATGAATATAAAGTGGTGAGGTATAGCTTGAAAATAGACAAAGATAATATTACTACTAATATAACTATCGACAACTACTCAGAAAAACCCTATTTGTAGCTTTCCATACTCCCCAAAATGAGGAAATTTTCCTTAGCAATAATCGTTTTCTTCAGAGAGGAACGAGATCAAGCTTAAAACTTTCGCGACAAAATCACGAGAGAGAGAGAAAAAAAACTCTCTAAAACCCGACTGAATGATCATACCCATGCATGCAAGGTGTTAACGCAGTGTCTCCTGGATTTGCATAACAAATTGTGCAGTAATTCTCAGGTATAGGTTCCTTTTGTAAAAGTTCCAGACGTCTCCGCCTCAAAATAACAAACATCGATGCATAGGACAGATATCTCTCAAAAATTAAGGAAGCATCTGCAGACTAAATTTATAACTCACCGTGGAAGAATAGTTTTCTGCTCCGCTGTCAACGTGGCGCCTCCGTTATTGAAAGACCTATCAAAGATTTCATCAGAGAGAGAACTTCGAACTTTATGAAGCTATTTGAATGTTCCTACCAAGATCTTCACCTTCAAACTCACTTAAACGAGATATCCGGAGGATATTTGAAAGGTTCAGCACCGAAATTGAAGCGACATTGCTGGAATGACATAAATGATGCAGCGGCGAAAACACCATCACCAGCAGGTCGACTTTCTAAAAATCTGCGATGACTGCAATGCAAGATTTGATTAGCATTTAAAGAGACTGATGAGAAACACGACAACTACGAAGCGTTTTCAGGAGAAAAAAATTCGGAAAAACTCTACTAAGGAATTCCAAATGTGGCCGTTGAAGGGGTTGGCCATTCAGGTAGAACATTACGGTGCCGCTCGGAATATTCAGCAAACAACCAACAACATCTCCTGTAAAAAATTTAATATAGAGAAGTGAGATAAACAGGAAGCAGTCGAAATAAAAAGGATTAAGAGGATAGTAAAGAATCAAGCATTTGGCATAGAGCAACCCCTACGGAAATGCCATGCCTTCGACTTTCATCAAGTACCGTTAGAGGTAACTATGTACAACTGGCATTAAATGACTCCCAATGGCTTTCTTTTGAATCAAGTCCGTGCAGCTATCCTACTAGACAAGACTGGTGGTAATTCGCCGGCCGATGGCGGGATAATGGAAGGTTTCATGAAGCCTTGGATCGGAACAGAACCATCAACCATGTGTGCGCCGAAAGGCACCTTGAACCACTGAGTCACGCACACCCCTTGTAGAAGAATATAGCTGCAAGTATGGCAAGAAATAAGGTTTACAATTTTACCTGGGGACCATGGATCATGTTCGTGTCGACTAGAGTGAGCATTGTGCCAAAGAAGTTGGCGACAACCATCGTAGGCAACGGAAGACTCATCATCACCAATTCCATATCCTTCCTAAAAATCCAAAAATCCCGTTGCATACACTCGGAAATTTTCGGCAACGAATGAGTAGCGCAATACTTATAACCAATCTAAAAACATTTTATTAGATAAACCCTTGAGAACCTAGAAAAAGGATATTGAAACACTTTTCTTGATGTCTCCTATAGCAACTTCTTGTGCTCCAAATTTCCAGTATCTCAAAATGTTTTGTTGAATCCCTGACGGATACAGATTGTAGTAAAAAAAGTGATCAATTAATCGAACTAAAACCTTGAGGAAGATTATCTCCTCGCAAATACTAAAACGTTTGACAGAGCTCAACTAGTTGAGAAAGGATCAATCATCTGGAAAGTGCATTGCATAACGACACCCAACCCGTAGCCGATGTTATAGAAGTTTAAAGAAGAAGTCATCGGCTCCTATCTCAATCTCTGTCAAGTTTGAAAGACGTTAGACATCGTCGAGACGAATATAGTACTACTAGAGCTTGTTGACCGATGAGTGATCTTACACAAACCCCTATCGAAATCCTATAACAATGATTCTAAAAGATACACCTCTCGGATTATCCTCTTACCATCAAGATATAGAAGGCTTTGGACAAGCTATCGCCAGAGCTGTTCACTCGATTAGCACAAAATCAGACATACGCACGGATAAGAAAACCCTAACAAACAGCTGATTTTGTTGCCAACTTCGTCATCTTTTCAAGAAGTATCCAGCAATTCACGAACCTCAGTGATCAAGGAAAAGGATAGATGTGAACATAAACTGAACAAAGACTTAGTTTATCAAGATTGCATGGTCCGAACGTGATCACAGCAAAATAGGCACTTCTCTGATTCTTTGACATTGACCAAATTGAACAGTGTCTATGAAGCAAAGAAAGAATCAAACAGAAGGGAAGCAACATCGCTCTCGTTTAGCAGCATGAAGCATGGATTTCTCGAATAAGCCAATGATTAACTAAAGGTCGCAAAACTCGGTGCCCACTTTTTTGACTCACTACTTCCTCTCAACGCTCTGCTAAACGGCACTGAAACATGAGTAGCCACTACGTCACAACCAACAGTCTAGGATCCTGCACCACCTAT